ACTGTGAGCGCACCGGTCATCCCTATATAGGATCCGAACCCGCGCGGGAGCGCTGCTGCGCTCCCAGCGCCGCACTCTCCCGAGTGCGCCATGGGCTCGGCCCACACCAAAGTGTTTTAAAAGTATCATTTGCCAATCCATGTTCGCTGGAGCTAAGAATTGTTTTCCTCATACTGTCATAACTGCTTCCGTCGGCCTAGACCACAACCCAGAACCGTCGGACCCGGCCTGATAGCCTAGGTTCCACGTGCCGCTGTGGCCTAAATACTTCCCTGCTTCCAAGGTTCCTGCTCTTCAGAATACCTCTCGACTCTCCTACGTTACGCGCCCTTACATATGGTTTTGCTCCTTCCACGTGCCTTCCAGCCCAAAGGGTAGTTCCGTGCCCCCAAACTTCGTTCTGTGGCCCCACCTACTTTACGCCTCCTAAATACGTAACTGCCCCCCCAGATAACCTATCCCATTCTCCCTCCCACATTTCGATGTCCTCTCCCACATACCTCGGTGCCCCTTCCGCATACCTCAGGACCCCACGAACTTAGCCCCGTTTCCTTCACACACCAGACCCGCGAGCCCCAAAATCCCCCTCCTAAAGCTCCCAGGCTCTCCATCGTTACTGTGCGTTCCGCCCTCTCTGTCCGAGGCACTGACTTTTCTCCCCGGGACCCAGCCTTCCCGGGCTCTCTCGGCCCGCACATAGGCAGCGCCGTCCAACCCTCTCTCCACTGGGTCGGGGCAGCCGCTCAGCCCGTGCGGCCGGCGCCGCGAGGCTCCCGGTGACCATTAGAGGGCAGGAGCTCTCGGCCAGCGGCGCAGCCAGGCCGCCGCTAGAAGGTGGAGGGGTGGGAAGCTAGGACCCCAGGGCTCTGCAGAGTCCAGGTTTCGTCTTCAAGTGGAAATTTCTTCCCCCGCCCCCTTCTCGGGAGAAAGTCAAGGAGGGAACCCAGGCTGCTGGAAAGTCCGGCTGGGGCGGGGACTGTGGGTTTCGGGGTAAAACTGCGTGTGGAACGGGACAGGGAGCGGTTAGAAGGGTGGGGCTATTCCGGGAAGTGGTGGGGGTAGGGAGTCCAAAACTAGCACCTAGTCCACTCATTATCAAGCCCTCTTATTTCTTCTCAGCCCCGTAGAGTGGGGCTTCAAAGGACTCAGGGAGAGTGGGGAGATGGAGTGGAGGACGTACGGGTGGGCTTCCCGACCTTGCTGTCCAGGACCTTGACCTAGCCCACTTTCTCTGTTCCCTTTTCTCACCTAGCTGTTGCTCTACGCTAAAATTAAAGCCAGGGGGCTCCAGGTCCCAGACTCCCCTACTCCCACCTCCTGGAGCCAGGGAGTGATCGATGAAAGGAGGAGGCCAGATGGAAAACAAACAGGTTGTCAGAGGCAGAGGGCTGAGTGATTGGAGCCCATGTACTCTACCCAGAATGGTTGGGGAGGAGGAGGAAGAGGTAGGAAGTAGGGAAGGGGACAGGAGGCGGAGTTTTGTCACCTGTCACCTGCTCCGGCTGTGCCTAGGGCGGGAGGGGGACCGGTATAAAGCAGCAGGCGCCTGTGCCTGCTGCACTTCACAGGCAGCGCCTGCCTGAGTCTGTCCTAACCCCTCCCCACCCAGTTCACCACCACCATGACACGAGACATCCAGTCCCCTTTCTTCCTGCTGCTGCTACTCCTAGTGCTTACAGGTGAGGGGCACAAGGTGGGGAGGGGGCTACCCTGCTCATGTGGTCTTCCTGGTCTTTCTGTGGGTTTTGCTTCCTGGCAGATGGCACCACCAGAAGCAGAAATTGCAGATGTGGGTGGCCCAGTCTCTTCCAGAATGAAGAAGAAAGGCTAAGGACAGGCTGAGAAGAGGTGGTCCCCAGGAGAGTGGGTGTGAGGGGAAGGTGAATGTCCTGGAGAGAAGGCTGGGAGCAGGGGGGAGGGAGTCAGGAGAGGTAAGTCTTAGGAGTGGAGAAATGGACAGGCCAGGAGCAGAGGTGTGTGGGAAGAGAGAAGGAGGCTGCCAGGAGGCTGCCGGCAGGGAAGGAAGAGGAGGGCCAACCCGGGGGCTGCCTGGTGCTGCCTCAGGTCCTACTTCTCTTGTTGCCAGAGGTTATATTTTCTCCTTGCTCTGATTTGTCTTCCAATCCAATCCTGTGACCTTAACTTCTTACAGCTGCCACCACCCCTAACCCCAGCCAGAGTACAGAAACAAAGACTTCAGCTACTCAAGGCAGCCCAGCCTCCAGCTCCACTGAGAGAAATTCTGTGAGCAAGACTAGCAGTGTACTTCCCACCCTCACTCTAGCCCACTATGTCACCTCGGCCACCAGCCCAGCCCAGGCTGCCACTTCATCTTTGACCACCAGCCCTGCCTCAGGCTCAGCTACCACTCTAGCTCAGGCTGCCACCTCCTCTCTGACCACCAGCCCTGCCACAGACTCGGCCAACACTCCAGCCCAGGCTGTCAACTCATCTCAGACCACCAGTCCTGCCCCAGGCTCAGCCAACACTCCAACTCAGGCTGTCAACTCATCTCAGACCACCAGTCCTGCCTCAGGCTCGGCCACCACTCCAGGTCAGGCTGTCAACTCATCTCAGACCACCAGTCCTGCCCCAGGCTCAGCCACCACTCCAGCCCAGGCTGTCACCTCATCTCTGACCATCAGCCCTGCCCCAGGCTCGGCTACCACTCCAACTCAGGCTGCCACCTCCTCTCTGACCACCAGCCCTGCCACAGACTCAGCCAACACTCCAGCCCAGGCTGTCAACTCATCTCAGACCACCAGTCCTGCCCCAGGCTCAGCTAACACTCCAGCCCAGGCTGCCACCTCCTCTCTGACCACCAGCCCTGCCACAGACTCAGCCAACACTCCAACTCAGGCTGTCAACTCATCTCAGACCACCAGTCCTGCCTCAGGCTCAGCTAACACTCCAGCCCAGGCTGCCACCTCCTCTCTGACAACTAGTCCTGCCACAGGCTCAACCAACATTCCAGCCCAGGCTGTCAACTCATCTCAGACCACCAGCCCTGCCCCAGGCTTGGCCACCACTCCAGCTCAGGCTGTCAACTCATCTCAGACCACCAGCCCTGCCCCAGGCTTGGCCACCACTCCAGCTCAGGCTGTCAACTCCTCTCAGACCACCAGTCCTGCCCCAGGCTCAGCCACCACTCCAGCTCAGGCTGTCAACTCATCTCAGACCACCAGCCCTGCCCCAGGCTTGGCCACCACTCCAGCTCAGGCTGTCAACTCATCTCAGACCACCAGCCCTGCCCCAGGCTTGGCCACCACTCCAGCTCAGGCTGTCACCTCATCTCAGACCAACAGCCCCACCCCAGACTCAGCCAGCACCCTAACCCACAATGTCACCTTGGCCAGCAGTCCAGCTCAGGCTGCTACTTCACCTCTGATCACCAGCCCTGCCCCAAGCTCGGCCACCACTCCAGTCAGCAATGTCACTTCAACCACATCCATGATCTCTGCATCGGGCTCAACTTTTACTCTGGTGCACAATGGCACATCTGCCAAGGCTACCACAACCCCCATCAGCAAGGTTACTCAATCTTCAGTTCCTAGCCACCATTCTGATACTCATACCACCCTTGCCAGCCACAGCACCAGGACTATTGCCAGTAGCACTAACCATAGCACTGTCTTTCCTCCCACCTCCTCCAATCACAGTACTTCTCCCCAGTTGTCTATTAGGGTCTCTTTGTTTTTTTTGTCTTTCCACATTTTGAACCTCCAGTTTAACTCTTCCCTGGAAGATCCCAGGACCAACTACTACCAAGAGCTGCAGAGAAGCATTTCTGAATTGGTGGGTATCTGTGCTTCCTTCACATGCTCTCCTAAAGAAGCTTTTAGAACTGCTTGAACCCTTTGCATTGAGCCTAAGTCCTTTCCCTCTCACCCCAGCTTTTGCAGATTTATAAACAAGAGGATTTTCTAGGCCTCTATAATATCAATTTCAGGTACAGTTGTGAGTGTGGACTCTGTGGGTGGATGGTGGGTGGATTCGTCATGACTGTGGGGAGGTTTTGGTACACTTGTCATTGGGGAAAGTGCTGAGCCAGAAGCTGGGAGCCCATGGCTGAGATGCCCATTTTCCTGTGACCAGGCCAGGATCTGTGGTGGTAGAATCGACTCTGGCCTTCCGAGAGGGTACCATTGATGCCCAGAGTGTGGAGACACAGCTTGTTCAACATGAATCAGAAGCAGCCAGATATAACCTGTCTATCTCAAGAGTCAGTGGTGAGGCTCTTTCCCCAGGTGCAGCCCAGCACCAAGCCAGGGCCACTGTCCTCCAACATCTGGGTTCCTGCCCTTCCCATTGGTGCTACCAGGTGGGGGTTGCCTCCTTTGGGAAACTGCCCTGACCGCTGCTTTTCCCTTTTAGTGAATGCTGTGTCGTTTCCTTCCTCTGCCCAGACTGGGTCTGGGGTACCAGGCTGGGGCATTGCCCTGCTGGTGCTGGTCTGCATTCTGGTTGCACTGGCCATCATCTATCTCATTGCCCTGGTAAGTGCTCAGTCTCTGGCCCTGACCAGAGTCCCCCTGGTGGAAGGAATCCCATGGCCCACCATAACCTCCTGTCTCCCCAGGCTGTGTGTCAGTGCCGCCGAAAGAACTATGCACAACTGGACATCTTTCCAGCCCGGGATGCCTACCATCCTATGAGCGAGTACCCCACCTACCACACCCATGGGCGCTATGTGCCCCCGGGTAGTACCAGTCGTAGCCCCTATGAGGAGGTGAGGATGGGCTCCATAGACTGGGGGAGGCAGAGGCTTTGGCTGGGCAGGGGGTCTAAAAGCGTACTTGGAAAACCCAAAGAGCTTGGATGAAGTGAGGGGTGGCAAAAGGTAAGCAGTGGAGGACCTGGCAAGGATGGGGGTGGAGGTCAGAGGAATTCTGGGGGACGGGCCTGGGAAGGAGACCAGGGAAGAAAGGGGATCTCAAGAGGAGGTGCCCCCACTACCAGCATTCCCTAAAGAGCATTGGCTATCCACCTTCATGGCTGGCAGGCTCTGGCTGAACTGGCGCCATGGAGGTGCTCACTAGGATGCCCAGAGGTAAAGTGGGTAGGGCACTGTGCCCAGGGGGGAGCCCCTTCCTGCAGGAGTCACAAGGAATGAGCATGTGGCTCCCACTCATCTCTTTATAAGAATGGAAAATAGACTGAGAAAGGCTGGGGCGTCCCTGGTGTAGAGAAAGAACTCTCACTAAGCCAAGTGAGCCTGGGTGCTGAAGGGGTTCTTGGGAGCCACACGGAAGAAAGGACCCCTCCTTCTTCCCTCTCTTGGCCTTTCTCTACAGGACCTAGTAAATAATTACTGCAGCCACCTGGGGCTGGAAAGCCACTCCGGGTGGGGGAGGAGAGAGGAGTTTCCTTTTCTTGCCCCCATTTTTTTCCTCCTGGAGACCTCCATCTTCCAGTTTTATACCCACACACACCCACACCCCTCCTCGGGCTGGAGAAGCAGAGAATGGAGGGAGAAAGGGTGGAAGGGGAGGCCAAGGGGACTGGTTAGAGCAAAGAGGAGGGGGTGAAGGGAGCAGAGGGAGGAGCAGTCCTGTTTACAGTCACCTGGCTGCTGGTGGGGCCCGGCAGGTGCTCTCTCTGAATTAACCCTTTGAGAGCTGGCGAGCCCCAGGTGCCATCCAGGAGCTCTAGGAGGTAGCTTCTGCCCCTCACCCTGGATCTCTTTCCCACCCACCCAGGTGTCTGCGGGCAATGGCCTCTCTTACACGAACCCGGCAGTGGCAGCCACTTCTGCTAACTTGTAGGGGCATGTCGCCCACTGAACACCAGCCAGTGCCAGTCCACTTCCCTCAGGTTCTTCATTGCCAGAGTCCTCTCCTCTGTTCTGATCTGGTGAGCTGAGAATTCAGGTGGCCTGCTCAGAGCCTCCCTCAGAGGCCCCACCAATTCCCTTACTCATCTTAGCCTGGTGTAGACATGTGTGTATCCCTGGGAGATATGCCTGGAGCAGTGGTGCAGTGGTGGCTCTCAGGAGGACTGGCCCAGAAGAGATTGGGTGGAACCAGAGCAAGGCTGAATAAAACGTGCCTCCCACTGCGCCAATTTCTGATCCTTCATTTGTGACCTGCGGATAGGAGGGGTGGTCAGAATATGTCTGTGAGGGGCCTGGAAGGGGCCTTTCGGGGGAGGAGTTGGGGAGGAAAGGAGGCAAGAAGGAGCAGGGTCCATTTGAGAAGCAGATATGGGGAAGAGGTGACATTAGGGAGCAGGGGAGGCCCCCAGAACAACTCAGGAGTCACCTCTCCCCCATCCCTGGAGGCACAAGAGGAAGGAGGAAACGAAACCTCAGAGGGCTAGCATGACTCGGCCCTGTCTCGCGCCAGTGGCGCTCCCCTTCCTCAGCGGGGGTTTCACTCCGGCAGGTGCTCTCCTCTCCCCTGGCACGGTGCCCCCAGGCAGCTCTATTCTTAGCTGCCCGAGTGTGAAGGTGTGAAGTAAATCCTTGGGCAGTGATAACGCCACAATCAACAGGCCGCCTGCGATAAGTGAGGGCTGGATCACATCCGGGCGCTGGTGCCAGGCCCGGCCCCCTCCCTGGCCCTCGGCCTCCCCACCCGCCCTGTCTCTGGGGTGGGCTCCTGGCACCCTGGGAATGGGGAAGTGGTTCTGGGCCCACAGCGGTGCCTGCCCCTTTAACCATTGTTCTCCCAGGGCCTGGGCACTGTGTCCCCTGGTGGTCATGGTTGGGGCCTGGGCCTGAACTTGTGTGGACTTGTGTGGCGGGAGGCTCGGACCACCTGGCTTGAGGACCTCCTTCCTTCAGGTGCCCTCCTTCCTTCAATGCTCCCCACCCCCTTCGCTGAACAATAGCAGAGCACCCTAGAATCCTCTGGCTGGCCACACCCAACACAGAAACGAAGAGGAATGGTCATGCTCAGAGAAGGCACAGATGTGCCTGGCATCACAGTTTATTTGTTTATAAACCACGAAAATAACAGCTGTTGCTCTGCACAGGCCTTGCGGTGCCCACTGCAGGGGGACAGCAGAGGGCACCAGAGGCCTGGCCTGGCCCAACCCTGTGGGGACACCCAGCCTTAGCTGGGTCCCTGAGGGAGACTTGGCATGTTGGCACAAGTGCAGGACAGGTAAAGCATGCAGGAGTGAGAAGGGGACATAAGGGGCATGCGGCTGGGGGGTATGGAGACCCAAATAAATAAAGCTGGATGGCAGGTTCCCCTTCCCCTCCCCAGGGAGTGCCTGGACAGTGTCCAGCCAGAAAGCCTGACTGCCCCAAGGCTGTAGTTCAGCATCAGTGGGGCAGGGAACTTGGCAGGGCAAAGGGCAGAGTTGGGGATCATGCCCAGTCTTCCAGGTGCCTTTCCTAATCAGCCTGAGGAGCACAGGACAGGAATAGGGAAGGGGCTCTCCCCATGACTTGGGTAGGATGCCAAGGTCAGGGAATGGAGCAGACTTGCTGGGGTGGGGGCGGCGCTGGGCTAGCAGGCAGTGGAGAGAATGGGAGAAATCCAGAGAGCCCCTTGGTAAAGAGAAAGCCCTGGGAAGACACGGACTTAGGGTAAGGGGCAGGGCCACATGGTAGAAAGAGTTTGGGGAGAAGCTGCCAGGGGTAACAACCCGGCACCAGGAGGCTTGGGGGGCTGGGATTCAGGAGGACCCCTGTTCTGAAGGAGGGGCCTGGGAGGGTCAGTCCAGCTTGGCAAAGCCCCCAATGGTGACCTTCCTCTCAGGCTTAGTGCCCACGGGCTCCTGCAGCTGTACTGCGCCACCCCCAATGAAGCAAAAGGCAGGGCACACAGGCCCTGAGCAGTCCAAGGGGCACTCCAGGAGCCCACGGAAGGACACCGCATCCAGGAAGGAAACCCTGCCCCGCTCGTAGTCCAGGCAGATGCCCAGGCGGGGTGGCAGGGGCACCGTGCAGCTGGCTGCTGGGCCATCCCTCCCTGTCAGCCCTGCACTTGAGCTCGCGCCGGACCCCAGCAGGATCTTGCCCATGCCGATGGTTAGAAAAGCGAAGGGTGGTGACGCCTCCATGGTGGCATCCTCGGCACCACTGTCGTGCCCGCTGTCCGGGTCATACCTGCAGGAGTGGGCGTCAGGTAGGAGGATGTTGGGGAGTGGAGTAAGGGGGGGGTAGGCTACCAGAGGGTAGAGGTGTTGGGAGGATGGAATGTCGCGGAGCAAGAGGTTGAAGAGATGGATTTTGGGTACTGAGGAGAAAACATGTTGAAGAGGCGGGTTAGAGTACAGGGCTGAGGGCTTGGTGTGATGGGAAAGGGTACTGACAGGAAAGCACAGTAGCAAGAGAGGCATCGGGAGAAAAGAAAGCCAGGTGTTGGTAAAGCACACTGAAGAAACGCAGCGCTTATTGATAGGAAGGTGTGGAGAAAAATGGCGTTAGGGAAATCATGCTGGGGAGAGGGTTTTGAGGGCTAGAGGATGTCAGAAGACTGAGGGGTTGGGGACTAAGACAGCAGGGAGAAGGGAGAAAAGATGTTGGGAAGGCGGGGGGTTGGGAGAGAGATGAAGGATGTTAGAGGGATGCGGGGCTGGGGGATGATGGGGTTTGGGAGAGAATCGGTGTTGGGGAGGGAGCATTTTGAAGAAATGGGGTGTTGGGGATAGAGTGCTCGGGAGAAGGGGTTCAGGGAGAAACGCATGTGTGGGAGGGTGTTAAACAGGATGTTGGGGAGAAGGTTGTGGAGATGGGATGTTTAAGGGAAGAATTTCAGGATGTTGTAAAAAGATGTGGGTGAAGGAGGTCTTGGAGAGAAAAGGTTTTGTGGAGAAAGGATGTTGGAAGTGGCGTATTAGAGAGAAAGGACGCGGAAGCTTGGAGAGATGGTGTATTGGTCCTGAGTGATGGAAGAAAGGATGTGCAGATGGCTCCCTCTTCTCTCTTCCCTTTCCCTGATCACACCCCCTAAAAATCAATCCTCAGAAACCCTTTGGCTGAGCCCACTTCTCTCCGGGCCACAGGCCTCCCAACCTGGCTTCCGTGCTCCTGCTGCTTCCTCCTAATCCCTCTCCAGCCCCATCCCAGCAAGTCTGCATTCCCTTTGCCACCCCTGCTCTGCCCCCAGCTCCCACCCAAGGCCCCCATACCCCATCCGTTCCAGAGGGGCCTGACCTGGGGCTGATCACATCAGGGGCACCCTGGAAGCTTTCCTGAAGCTTGCTCTCCAGCCCGACGCCCACCTTCACCAAGTAGGAGGCTGGGTCTATGGCGCAGGCCCAGTAGCTGCGGCCCTGGGTCACAGCCACATCACCCAGGACCACGTCCACACTCAGGTGGCAGCCAGTCAGCAGCCGGTCAGCAGCCAGCAGGAGGGGAAGCCCTGGAATACTCCGTACTGCTCGCTGGTCCTTGCTGATGGCCAGCCGCTCCCGGCTTGCACCCCAGCGGCCATCAAGGAAGAAGTGCAGGACTGGAGTGGAGAGGGATGAGATGGAAGGAAGGACTTCAGGGACAAACACTGACACTGGGGACTGGGAGGCGTTAGCAGAAGACACTGGGAGATTTCAGAACAGGGAACAAGGTGCCGAAGGGTTTAGTCATCAGGAACAGGGGGCTCAGAGGAACAGGGCCTGGGGAACTGGAATGGGGGGCATAAGGAAAAAAGAAGGGGCATCCCAAATAGGCATGGGACCCCAGGAAGAGTTTTAGTGGGCACAGAAACCAGTGTCCCAGACCTGGTTGACTGACAATACTTCCTCTGACCCCTTTCCTATGGCCTGCCTATGGACAATCCCCTCTGTTTTTCTGTTCCACCTGGTGACATTCCCACCATCTATGTATACCTTCCAGCCCACACTCTGATGCTCACACCTGGCCCTTACACCCAGCCCCTAAGTCTTATGCCCCTCTCATGCCCATACCCCAGGGTCCAAACTATTTTCTAGAGAGTCACTTTATTAACATTTCTTGTGTCCCAACTGTGAGCTGGAAATTGTGCCAAGACTTTACATGTATCCTCTCACAACAGTTTAATTCTCACAACAACCCTAAGAGGTAAGTATTATTATCATCTCTATAGAATAGGATTCTAAAGTTCGGAGAGGGTGAAAAACTTGTCCAAAGCCACACAGGTGGCAAGAGGCAGAGCTGGGATTTGAATTCATGTAGTCTAGCTCCAGAGCTAGTGCGTGTGACCCACTATATTAAATGGCCTCTCCATTGTCTACCCAGAACCAGCTGTTTGCACCTTCTGCACAAGCACCTGTGTCGTGCCTTTTGCACGACTGCCTGTGCCTGCCACACAGTGCCCACCTGCCTCCTCACTCACCAGGGGCTGGGGGCGTGTGTAGGTGCACATCTTCACTGTACTCGCCATAGCCAGCCTTGTTGCAGCCACGGACACGCAGCACATACACAGAGCCTGTGTCAGGGTTGTCGAGCAGGGCACTGGTGCCCCTCACCTCCTCCCGCCGCTGCCAGCGGGTGGGGCCCGGCTGGGCAGGCACATCTGTGCGTCGGAACTCAATGGTGTAGTGCCAGGCAGGTGGTGAGTGGGGGGGCAGCCGCCAGCACAGGAAGATCTGATCGTAGGCAAAGGTGCGCTGGGTATCAATGACAGGAGCTTCAGGCACTGTTGAAAGAGACAGCAGGGGTCAGTCAGGGCCTGGCCATTGGCTTGGCATGGAGGGCAGGGACAGGCAGGAAAAGGGAAAGCAGCGGGAGCCGGGGGGTGAGTGTGGGTGAGAGGGAACTGGGGAAAAGACCTATTTGGGCACTGGGCACAGGATGGGCAAGGCAGGGCCCAAGGGAGAAGGAGAGGCAGGAGAGTGCTGGGCAGGGAGTCAGGAGGCCTGTCTTCTAATCCTGGTTTGCTACTACCTCACTTTGGCTTGAGATAAGTCATGTCCCCTTTCTGGGCCTCAGTTTCATCCTCTGTCACATGAGGGTATTGGACCTGATAAATTCTGTGGGCCCTTCCAGCTTAGACATTCTGTGAGTAAAGAGGAGCCCCATGGAGGCTGGCTGGTTAGCTCAGTTGGTTAGACCATAGTGCGAATAACACCAAGGTCTAGGGTTCAATCCCTGTACCAGCCAGCTGCCAAAAAAAAAAAAAGAGAAGCCCTAG